CGACAAGGTACTAGCTAAATACAATAATAAACTCTGTTACGACGCAATCAAGGAAATGACTTATTTGGAATGGGCTTTCAAAGAAGGAATGAGAATCTTTCCTTCCCTGGGGTTCCTGATTAGACAGTGCGCCAAACCGTATACATTCGAGGATCTCGGTCTCACCATTGACGAGGGGGTTAAGATCATAATTCCACTCCAGGCCCTTCACAACGATCCTAAATACTTCGACAACCCTAGTGAATTTCGTCCAGAAAGATTCGATCCTGAAAATTTTGATAGCAGCAACAGATTCGTTTACTTACCGTTCGGGGAAGGTCCTCGAGCTTGTATCGGAGAGCGTCTGGGCATGATGCAGTCGCTGGCTGGGCTCGCTGCCGTACTGTCGAGGTTTTCCGTCCACCCTGCGCCGGGAGCACCTCGGAAACCAACCATCGATACTCGATCCAACATTGTCCAAGTAGTACGAGGAGGTATACCGCTGATATTCACAGAAAGACGACCAGATTAACGCATTGTATAAATATGAACATGATAGATAGGTTCAAAACTAATTAATATGTTTTAACATAATAATAATTTAAGTGTAGTGTATGTAAGATTGTAATTTTTTCGAGTATCAACAGAGTTAGCTCAATAATACGAGTACATTCGGTAGTGACCACAAATATATTATGAATTATACATATGTATACTAATTAGTGATTACACTACATTACCTTGTTTATAAACTATTGTTATTTTATGTTATATATACATAATCTTCTATTAATAAAATGTATACTTTAAATACATAGACCGGGTCACAGTCTTCTTGATTGTAATAAAATTTCACTGAATATTATAAAAATTTTTGTCATTTTCATAATTATGATGAAATTTTAAATTCCAGATTTATATGAGTTACAGTTAAGCTTATTTTCTTCTGAAACTGATCTCATTAAATTCTTTTGTCGTTGTTTCAATCACTCAGACACAAACCTTCCTAGACATGACAGAACGTGGAGATTCCTACTAATATTATAAATGTGAAAGTAACTCTGTCTGTCTGTTACGCTTTCACGGGTAAACCACTGAACTGATTTTAATGAAATTTGATACAGAGATAGAGTTGACCTTGAGAAAGAACAAAGGATAGTTTTTATCTCATACTTTTGAAAGGTTCTCTTGGGAACGCGATATAACCGAACTCCACGCCGGCGAAGCTGCGGGCGGAAAGCTAGTGTTTATATAAATACTTAACAGATATTAATCACTGTCTCTTTCTTATAATATATATATATTGAATAATTTAATTACATTATAAATATTTAAGAGTATTCTACGTTTTCATTAAGTATAGTTAATGTTATTTTGGCTACTTAATTATATTATTATATATCCAACAAAGTAATAAACAGATTGAATAAGAAACACAAATGAAAATGTGTATCTCACGTCATTTAATACACAAGAACCGGTTTCAAATTACTCTTAGATAATTGTAATAAGCAGTTATAGAGATATTAATAGACAGACTATTAACATAGTAAAAAATACTTAAATTTTTGAGTAATTTGCATAATTGAATCTACTTGGAACAAAACCATAAGAAATAAGTCATTATTTCAAGTTATTAAGGAAATATATGTTGTATAAACTTCATATCCGTTTACTGGGTCCGGAACAGAGAGTTTATTTCAATGTAGGAGTGTCCCTTCATCATCACGACACTGAGGATACAGGAACATTGTACAGGAAAGAAAACCCAGGGTCTGACATGAGTTGACCTTACAATACCTGAATAGGCTCCATGTCAGATGTACCTCGACTAACAACTAAATATCTAAGAGTATTTAGACATCACTGACAGATGAAGGAAAAGATCGTGAGGAAACATGGACTTATATCAAATTATAAGTTTGAAATCACTAACTCGTCTTGAGCAAACGTGGTGATTAATGCTCAAACCTTCTTCATGTGAGAAGAGGCTCAGCAGTGGGCTCTGATAGGCTGATGACGACAAACAACGTGAGGTCGCGTCTACAAAATACATACGGCGATATAAATTACTTTATTAATAAACCAAAATATAACAGTATCAGCGTTACTTGTGATATATTAATGAAAACATGGGTCTAGTCTAGTATGTAGTTTGAAGACGCAAAACTTTTGTAACCAACCCATTATATTATAATCAGTAATTTATATATATTACACAGTATGTCCATTAACTATTTCTATAATATAGTTGGAAAGTATTTTTGAAACAACTGTATTCATTACAAGTATGGTAATACAATAAATGTTCTTGGTTTATATACATAAATGTTTTTTCTTTGCAAACTAATATTGTTGATTCGTTTTAGTGCAATATTAATTATGGTATTTGAATCGCATCTTGTATACTCGTTGATTTACCTAAGAGATCCTAACAACTCACAGTTATATGAAGGAACGTAAATTGTGACAGAGTTTGAGAAATTGTGGTCACTGAATTCAGTAGTCACATTCATCCCTTTGTAATATCTATCAGAAGACGCTTAACAGCTTCGATTAATCAAGGAAATCAAGTTAAAGACCCGATTTAAAATATCTAGAATGGTAAATATACTTTCAGAAGTGAGAACTGATAAAATTCCTTATATTTTTCTTAAAAAATCACCTCCAAATAAATTTTACTTCTACATATCTATTCTATTAATTAATAAAATAAGATTCAAATAGTCTGTTAAACTGTTCATATTTCAAGAAACCGGTTCCATTCTAATTAACTCAAGTTGAATTACAATCTATATCTAGACAAGATAGATAGATAGAATCTTATCTATTTATATACTGTTTTATCTAGAAACTGTAAACCTTCTATAAGTACTCTACTCTCAGTGTACAGTTTTGATAAAATTGTTATTATTTGGATTTCATCATAAGAACGCTAACTCACTACATTTAACAATTATGAAGTATATATAACATATTTTAGAAAATAATTGATATACCAACCATGTAACACACATGTAATAATATCTTACTATCTTTAATTAAGTTCCAAATAATAATCTGGCGGCTACTTTTGTATTTTCACTTTTGTATGTATGTTCTCATGTGACTATGTTTTTTTAGAATAAATTCTTTAAACCTATATAACCAACTAAAATGTACAATTAATGACACGGCATTTTAAAATGCAATTTCTTCAGTAATAACGCCTTTTGTTTTAAACACTTCTTGTCATCAAATGTATCTTTGCTAAGTTTTTCTTTTAAGGCGTTATGAAAAAAGCGAGAGCTATGTTACTTTCACCTAATATACATATTTTTAATACAAATAAATTAATATTAAAGGAGAATTTAATAATAAATGCGAAGAGATGAGCCGTAAGTAATTCTGTCTTGGTTTAAAATGTGTCACGATACTATACACTAGATGTCGCTGTACCAATCGTGAGTCGATGCTACATCGTGCTAACAATATTTCTGTACGGTTCATCACTACTTGTAAGTAAAACTACGTAAGTCACTCTGGTTTCCCTTCAAAACGTATAAATCTTTCGCCTTTTACTAAAGATTTCCGTGGAGGGGAACACTCAAATGAGTCTAAACTTATTTTTGAAGCCTCACATCAAGTGAGGTTAATAAACGATACTGTGTATAAATAGGGATTTCAGTAACGAAGTCTGTTCTTGATATCAAGTTACTCTTAATAAAATCATATTCTATCGAGCTTGTGTAAAGTAAATAGTTATACAAGAATTCAGTGTGGAAATATTAACGAGTATTAAATAAAATTTATTAAATACCTAATCTTCTAATAACGGCATTATATTTATCTTACAAATATTATAAGTGCGGAAGTTCCTTTTGATATTTGTCCATTTTTACACAAATAATTATAATTTATCGTGTTTGCATAAAATAGTCGAATGAGTCTAAAGTTTTTGAAGCATCATTTAATTATCTGTATATATGTAAATGGATTTAAATCAAGTCAAAGATAATTCTTAAACGGTTGCTTAGTTTGAGATTCTGACAGCTCGTAAACTAAATAAAAAAATATAATATCTACTTTGATTTATTTTGAAATAAATTAGGCATTTTAATTTTTAATTTTATTTACATTTAGAAAATACAGTACAATTCAACTTATTCCCGCTTTTTAATTATTTTTTGATATATTTAATCGTATAAAAATCATTTATGGTAAATCGCTCATTACGAATTGAAGTCCTAACTTCTAAATTACTCTGTTTGTTACTCTATTACTCCTAGAATTAAATACCGATTTTCAAAATTATCCTTTTAATCGAAGGCTAATTAGTAATTTTCATTAGATAGTTTCGAATCTTCGAGAAATAGAGTGAAATGTCAATGATAATAACAATATCTCAAAGGTTTTATATGCGGGCACAGCTAGATAAAATTAAAATTATTTACTAATTGGATGAATAATAAAAATCTGTGCCTCAAAATCTGAGACAATAAAAAGCAATGACATGAAAATTGGCGCGTATTCTGACATAAGTACGAATGCATTAATTTACTTAGCTCATATGTTTTAATTAATAAATATATATCGCATTTATTACAAATTCGTTGTTGTTAAAGAGAGAGACGCCAGCTTCGCTGACGTAACAAATGTCACTTCTTCTAGAAAGTTCCATGATAGTTTAAAATGAAACTTCAATTGTTCTTAATGCTCCTGTATTTCTCGAAGGTTCGTCATAATCACATACTTCAATGATACACACTCACTGAACTCTCAAATCTGCCGTCGTGCATCCAGACGTCATATTTATACCAAGATTTAAACATAGATCTATTCTCCTTTTAAATAATCTTCGATTTCGTTTTACTTTTAACAATAATCATGAATACTAATAAGTTCTAATAAGAATTGATGACAGCCTCAAATTAGTTTCACGTCGCATCCGTTATAAAGCTGATAGCGCCGATATATATAATAATATGGGTTAAAAATGAAACAGCATAGTATAATAAATATTTATTAATAGAATGTGACATTTATAGCATGCTGTATAACAGGTACATGACGGGTATAACCCATGATATTTGGGTTAGACCCATTCCACTAACCAATGATATTATAATCCATAAAAAACCCAAAATCATCACTTGCCAGATAATATGCACGTAGTACAGGCTGAAACATAATATATGAGTATATTATTAAAATTATATGTATGTAAACATTATTTACATAATTTAATTATAAGATTTTATAATTATAAATATTTCATTGAAATTTTCTTATATGGATCGATTTTGATGATACTTTTTGCTTCTAATAGTCACATACTTACATATTATTTTTAGTTTTGGCCGCTGGTAATGTCTTTTCTGTTTCCTTGTTCAAGTATCTCCTCACACCGAGATGTAATTTCACAAAATATTCTTCCCACTGTAATATATAACATATACATATATTTTTATGTACTTATTCTATGTATTCAATAATGTATGAACAGATTTTAATGAAACTCTTAACATATTTGCATTTGGCTATGAGATAAATAATATTTAGGAATATAAATATATTGAATTTATATTAAAATTATATATATATCGATGGGTCCTATGTATAAGGGCCAATGTAGCAATTTTAATTTTTCTGCTTTAAACACTTCATAATACTATATTTTACAACATCCATTTAAAAAAATGTGTATTTGTTGGTTGAAAGATTTAGTTTTTATTGCAGTAAAAAGCATAAATAACGTATAAGGGCTTATGTAATGTATATTATAAATATATATATTTAAAAAACTATTAAGTTTACAAAAGAGTGTATCAATCTTAAATGTCGTACATGTATATCATAGTTGGTATACAAAGTATCAAAAGCATCAGTTGTATGTACAATACATTGATATCAAACATACAACGTCTCTACTGAACAAATGTTATTTGTACATTGGCATATACATAGGAGACATATATATATATATGTATAAATAATATTAATTACATACATATATCTTTGATACATCAATATCAAATAGTTCAACGTCCTTTTTATTCATCATTTTTGATAGTTCCCTTGTTCTCAGATTATTGAATTTCCACTCGGTGAAAATAAACACTTCGAGACGACTCAGTGAATTCCAAACGTTTTTGTGGAGCCGGAACAATCTGAGGAAAGATATATATAAAATACTGATACCATTTTGATGTAACTCTGAATTTTTGTCTATTTCTTGATATAGAAATATTATATATTTGAGTAAAAAACAAATTATATGTATATTTGAAGTCATTTAATAAATAGATATTCATTTTATGTACAACAAAAACTAATATTTTTCTTATAAATATCATTATTTTTATAGTGTAATTTTTAACAGATTAGAATTAAATATATTTCTCATACATATAATTAGTTTGACTAAACTGTATAGAGTTTATTAATTCAAACCGCTACTAAGGTAGGTAAGATAAAATTGAAATTATTTATTTGTATGTACATATTTTAACATCTCAATGTTTTTTTTTATATCTCAGAAACTGCTTAACCTATTTTAGTACTGTTTTGAGTCATAAATTATATATATATATAGGTAACATACATAGGTTTTCCTCCAGTTATTCTTAACAACATATCCAATAGAATGGCTGGGAAGAAGTGTATGAAGATCGCTGACAAACGGAAAAGCCATAATGATCTCACAAACGCTAAGTGAGGATACCTGAAACATATATCTTTATATATATAATTCTTCTGTGAGTGTGTATGTCACTGAACTTCTCTCAAACCATATGACCGATTTTGATGAAATTGTTAGTGTGTGTTCAAGGGGATCTGGGAATGGTTTGGATTCACAATTTTGTCCAGTGGACAATGTTTTTTTAATTAATTTTTAATTTATTAGTAGTTGTTGATACTAATAAGTGTGTTACAGTATGTTGTATGAACACTAAACATAGTGACTATAATAATACTGTGTGTATATGTTTAATATGTATATTAATGGAGGTCGCGTGTGTGTGTGTGTGTGTGTGTTTTTTATATATATATAACTTGTAATATATAACTGGTATATATACAGGGGTTCACACGAGATGAAGACACAACTACACACCCTGTATCTTCTTCCTGGCAATTTCCCAGCTTTAGCCAGGGTCTGCCTTACATGTTGTGAATAGTTTTGGCTATTTGTTTTTACGACCAGCCGCCTCCCTGATATCAACCCCCTTTTGGGCATTAGAATTAATCAGTGATGGCTAAATACTCTTAGAAAGTACATATGACTCGGAAAAATAAGATTGGTACTTGCCAGGATCGAACCCGCGCTCTCGAGCCTGAGAGGCGAACCTTTTAACAACTAGGCCACCACTGACTAATGCCTGTATATATACTCTAAATATTATTTTATTTATTTAATGACTATCAAGTAATTACATCAATATAAATAAATTAACCACATCATATTTATGAGAAACTAAACCAATTTTGATGAAATTTCGATCAATATAACTAATTTTACACAGAAAAATGGATTTTAAGAGCAATAATAGTATTATTAATTAGTACATACCATACGGCGCTCTTCAATGGGTAGTTAGTTAATATTTTGTTTACAACTGGCTCTAATATTGACCAACGGAATGGATTTTGAGTTGAGGTGGAACAATGATATACTTGTAGACCGGAACTGAGGAATAAAATGGAAATACTATCATATCATATCACAATTAATGGTATATCATATATTTATCATTAATAATTAATATATAAAGAAATTAATTTGAATAATTATAATTGGTAAACACAACAAATTCCTGTATAGTATGTTATACTTAAGAGATAGATATATGCTATAGCAGACTTGTCTGAAGGCATAATATTGAATTAACTCATCTATATATATATATATATATATATATATATATATATATATATATATATATAGGATACATAATTCCACTGTACATTGTTTTGTTATATCTCAAACCAATCTTTATCATATATTGTTAATGTACACAAATCAATACAAAACCTTCACTAAATATATATTAAAAAACTTCCTCTAGTGGTGAAAACAACTTAATAATTGTTGCAGTAGTTTTTCTATTCATACAGATAGACGAGATTTAATATGTATTGATATTATTTTAATCCAAAAAACATTTATAATTTCATAACTTCTATACTATAGATGAAATAATATTAAAATACTAACTTTTCCTTAGCTGCATTCCATCCAGCCACTAATAATTGATTCACAACTATGTCTACTGGTATATAATCAGCTATATTTTCTTTTGCTAGCGGCAAACGACGAACAACGCCTGGAAACATGAGTTATAGCGAATTATATATAGAAAATTCATTAATAATAAAATTTATATCCATATATGTTCTAAAGCCACTATTAATGAATGAATCTTATGTATAGTTGTAAATGTAACAAAATAATACTTAATTTCTACCATTAAATATTCTAAACCAAATTAAACTTATTATTTAAATTACCAAATACATATTTTAATTTATTTCATGATTAAATCTGCAGTTTTCAGTACATACATGAATTTAATGTAATCTAAGAAAATGTTTCCTTTAATTAATTATTTATTAATAAACCTTGATTTTCGTTGATATGTATTTGTTATTTTTTAAATAAACATATAATATTATGTACTATGTATACACAAAACCGGCTTTTCTTCATACATTCGATTATCTGAATGTCTATCGACAACAATTACTTCGGTTAATCGAGTTTCTATTGTATAAAATTTTCTTGTCACAATCTTAGTTACTGTACTCCTGAGAAATGGCTTTACCGATTTTTATCAAATCTTATATACATATTCAGTAGGTCTGACAATAAGCTACTATCTATTTTTCATACCCCTAATTGATAAGGGTTGTTCACCCTTAAAATATATTTTTAAATTTTTGGACAACATTTTTTGATTTATTTTTTCATGATGTGGTATTTAAAATGCATATCACAACCCCTAAATTTTTATCACCAATCCCTATATTTTTATATGGCAAAAGAACATTTGCGGGGTCGGCTAGTATATATATATGTATATATCTTTATATATATATATATATAATTCTTCTATGAGGGTGTATGTAACTGAACTTCTCTCAAACGACTGGACCGATTTTATGAAATTTTTTGTGTGTGTTCAAGGGGATCTGGGAATGGTTTAGATTCACAATTTTGTCCGCTGGACAATGTTTTAATTTATTAGTAGTTGTTGATACAAACGTTTTTTTTTGACATTACATTTGACAACTAATATGTCAATCATTCTGTCGCACTTCAAAACACGGAGATTTATGTCTTTATTAGGTAAACTAAAAGGAAAAATATAAATAAAAAAACATAACAGATATTTCTTGATTATAGAGCGATACGAAGTTCGCCAGGTCTTTTAGTATATATATATGGTATAAATTTATATATGTGTGATATATATACCTTTAGCTGCTCCCATTAAAAACCCTTGTGGGCCGACTTTTGAGCAAGTCCAACCGGGTACTGGTTCCTTCAAAGATGCCACAACTGAAAACATTACACAATAACACCTTATATTCCTGTATATAAACTTTTTTCTTCTTCTTCCTGGCAATTTCCCAGCTTTAGCCAGGGTCTGCCTTACATGTTGTGAATAGTTTTTGCTTATTGCTTTCACGACCGGCCGCCTGCCTGACATCAACCCTCTTTGGAAATGCATTAATCAGTGATGTCTAAATACTCTTATAAAGTACATATAACTCAGAAAAATCACATTGGTCCTTGCTAGGGCCAGGATCGAATCCGCGCCCTCATGCATGAAAGGCAGACCTTTTAACCGCTAGGCCACCACCGACTTAACTCCTGTATATAAACTATATTAAAAGTTAAATAAAAATCAATTCAGCATTTTTAAAATTTAATTGTGAATACAAAAGCTTTCATTATATGAAAATATATTAATAATTACATTTTCTATTGCCAAAATAAAATACTTTTCACAAGTAGTATATTTTAAGTAGTATATCATATTTCAAGTAATATATATGTGTATAAAAATATTATCTTTACTCAAATATGATAAAACCTATACTTATATATATAATATATTTTAATGAAACTCACTCATTGTAGGTCGTACTATAGTGATTGGGAACAATGCTTCACATTTCTTGACCTCGTGCTCGGCTAAATGTTTAGTGAATGTGTATGTATTGGGATGGTTTTTTAATATCCTGGAACATTTAATATATTTATTTAATACAAATTTTATTACTAAATGAATTGTTTGAAAATATTTAAAATATCAATAAATATATGTCATGTATGTAGAACATAAATTTTAACATATTGTTAACATATAGTGTGTATGTTCAAATGCATAAAAAAGTAATTAATAATGAAAAATCATGATACTATATAGTAGCAATATCAATATTATTAATATCAATACATATAACTCATAATGTGTGTATACAGGGTGTATGAAAAACTGTGTCAACCCTCTTAACTACGTTATCAGTATCGATAATGTAACACAATAAAACAACTTACATTTACAAACTCTTCAATAAAAATAATAAAATAAAATATTAAATGATTATTATATGTAGAGTAACAAAATGTTTGTAAACCCTGGTATAACACGATGACACGCAATGACGTCATCACAGCTGCTGCGCTACTAGTGACGACCTTGAAGTTACTTTCACATTATTGAAAATATCGATATTTAAAAAATCATAACAATAAATAAATATTTAATATTCATATTATTTCGATACTTATTTTGATATTATATCAAACATTAATATTATGTTTGATTGTAAAACACCATTTTTAACAGAAATAGATTAACGATTTATCCTAATAATACAACATATGTAGTTAATTTACCTGAACAAGTTTCAAATTATAATATTTATTATTAATAAAAGTTATTTTAAATGAAATTATTTTAATGTTGAAAGCAGTGGCGGCTGTACCTTAAGTTCACTCGTGCGCTGAACCACCAATTCAAAAGATTTAAAAATTACAAAATGATACTTCATCTTTATTTTTAAAATATACCATTTTAATATTTATTTACTAAACATACAAAAACGTATAAAAAATTAAATTTCTAATTATAGTCAAAAAGTTTGTGCGCTTTACTAAACTAATATCTCGTGCGCTTCGGCGAGTGCACGAGGACTGCTAATACAAGTTGTATGAGATACGCATTAATACGCCTGGCGCGTGAAACAAAAGATAGTTCATAGAAATGTACCGAGTAATGAGTCGGTTCTCGAGCGCCGCACGAGCGGTCGAAGATTACCGAGAGCACCCGATGTATGACGAATTGGAATTGAAAAGAATCAAAACTTTTCTCCGAAATACTATGCACTTGCTAAATGCACTTTCTGTGCTTAGCATTGAAAAAAATAATTATACAGGTGATTGAACATTTCGCTTCAGAAAAATGTCGTCGCATTGACTTAATGTATAAAAAATAAACATATTTTATGTCAATTGGTTTTTTGTTGCATTTTTAATTTTAATATTTTAGTAAAGTGCACCACCAGTTCGAAAACCCACCAGCCGCCACTGGTTGAAAGCATAACTATTTATAGCAATATTGAAAATGTCGATAGAATATTTATCGATATAACTAATTTTTACACTTTCAAATCTCTATACGAACAACTAACAGAATAGTAATAATAACGCCGGCATCCCGTCGCCTGCGGTCAATGGTCACGCATGCGCCGTTGCGACTATACGGTGTCTTGACCTTGTATGAGTCAGATGTTTGGAACATTTCTTCAAATAATGTCGATTTAAAACTTATTTAGCCTATGCACTGTAACTGACCTCTGCTTGATATTTTTTAAGTTATATTATTTTTTATAATAAGCTTATACTTATATGTATACATGCCTTCAAGGGTTGACACAGTTTTTCATACACCCTGTATATATATATATATGTGTGTTTGTATGTTTATATATATATACTAACAATCTCTCCACATCGTTTAAAGCATCATCGGTCAGTGTGTTCACCATATTAATGATGTTTTCAGGATCGGCCGGCCTGTCATACACTTTTTCATCAACCTCTTTCAAGTATGAATTCACATAAGCCGAGGAGACATGTATCATAACCTGGAATTGTTTGGTATAAATATATATATAGATGAATTAATTCAATATTATATGTAAAATAATTAATAAAACTATATTATATTTGTCATTTGTGTGTGCTTAGTAGCAAGACTCAATGACGGAACTTATATAATAAAGTGATCTACCTACATTACACTTGACATCATATTATTTAACAACACCAAGTATAACTAATACACAATAATTTGCAATTTTGTTATAGGGCATATATAGGTTTTATTACTGGCAGACGGCATATATTCATCAATATTAAGACATTTTACATTATAATAACATATTTATATATATGTTTGTACATAAAATACATGGAATAAGCAAAATTATTCATGTATAATATAAAATACCTTGAGATTTTTAATTTGCCGGCATAAATCCATGACATATCTGGTTCCGAGTACATTAATTTTGACCGTTGGACGAAGATTCTCCTCAAAATCGAGGGTAGCAGCTGAATGTATGACTACATTGACTTCATTTATGAGTAAGTCACGATCGCTCTCATTGATTCCGAGATGTTCTGCACCAACATCACCGGATATTGGGATAAGTTTGTTAAATATATCCTTTGAAGTATTTTCAAGAAGATGCTCAAACACCTATAATTGAGAAATAAGTAATGTATTGAAAGTTATTATATCATATATATATTACATTGTTATAACAAAGAACATATTCATAATATATCAAGATAATGTATAGAATTATTTACGATTCACACAAATTAATAAACTTTAAGAAAATTACGTCGTATAAGGTCGTGATAATTACATTACGTGTCTGAATTAATTACAATACTAGCAAAATCTCGTTTTATGTTACATTGAATGTAATTACTAGGCTCATAGTTGCATGAATAATATTACAAAGCAGGCTAAGCTTGTTTTAATAGAAACATAATATTTTGCACCTTACTTCTACGTTGTACTTACAGGATTCGCAGGAAATTCTTGTAATCTATCAGCTATTTCTTTACCTTTCTTAGGTCTCATCAACAAATATATTTTACCGATATCCGGAATCGTTCTTAATATTTTCTCAATCAAACACAAACCAACAAATCCAGTGCCGCCAGTTATAAATAAGTTCTTTCCACTGTAAAACGCTTTAACTTGAGATTCCTCCATCTTATATTAATATAATACTTTGTAATACTGAAACAAAATTTATAACTTAAACAATATTCTCATTAAAACTACAAAAAATTAGAATAATAGTTTTCTTAAAGTTAACAAAAGTTCACATTGTTACTTTGACATTTGTTTTGGCGCTCATTTTTTTTTAAATTCATATTTGTGTTATAAAGGCATCGAACCATAGTTGCACAGTATATTAAACTTTAATATCACAGTATTGTTAAATATGTCAATATTTACTATATTGTAATTGTTTCAACGTATATAGTAAATTATATTAAATATAACTTTCATATTAATTTCTTAAAAGATCTAAAATATAACAATATTATTGATTTTAAAATATTTATAGTTATGTGCAAATATGATATTCACCTAGGGGCTAGGGCAAAACATGATTTAAGTATAAAACAATGTTTCAAATTAATGTAATGACAAGTCTGTTTTTTTGTGGTTTTATTTTCAACAAAACTTAATTATTCTCAACAATTTTTGTATTAGTAACAGTTAATTTAGTATGTGTGAATTATCTTTCGTTTTAATTGCTTATTTTTATCATTGTCCGGAACAATATAACATTATTAGTTCCACGACTGTCCTATTATGCCACTAATGAAACAGTTTAGTAGAAAAATACGTATTTCTGAAGTATTCATTTTATAAATCTTTACGTAAAATTGAAACTCAGGCATATAGTTAGGCAATGGGAACTTTTGGTGAGTTTTATATATATATTAGAAATTCATAATATCAACATAATTATGTAACCATGTTATTCGACCCACTTCTTAAAGAAACAAACAACTAATAAATTTTAATATATTTGCATATTTATGTGAACGATCATTTAAAATTGAGTTTTTATACGAAATATATTTACGTATTTAATTTGAAATGTCCGTTTTTTTTACGTTTTTCACCATCAATATGAATAAATTATTACGATGTTTTCTTGTTATGTAATTAACAACTATTTTGAATATTTTAATGTTCATTTTGAAATTATAAAATCCACTGAAGTGAGAGTTTTGAATATACAGGGTGACTGGTGAATTACTATCGATATGTGAGGACGTGATATTTGACGATCATATATGACAAAATAAAAATTAATATAACATAAATATTAATAAACTTCTAAGTAAAGTTAACCAAAAGTTATGTAATTAATTACGCATCGTATGAACACCCTACAGATTAGGTATACACACACACTCACACAGACGCGGCGGCGGCGTAGTGTTGTATCAGCACGCCGCCGCACGCGTCCACACTTGGAACACTTGGAACGTGTCAACACTTTATTTATTTATACGGAAATTTGGTCAAAAATTAAGTGCCTATTTTTTTTACATAATTCGAATGAGAATCATGTACCGAGTATTCTCCTTAAATATTGATAGTAATTCACCAGTCACCCTGTATATATATAAAACCCATATTTTTAGGGGGACATCAGTAATAAAATCTGCCAATTTCTGCTTTATGCTTATAGATGGACTGTCTTAGTAATAAGGTCCCATTTTACAGTCTACTCTATCGACATATAATAATGGACATGCCGTACGCGTGTAATCTGCAGTAATTTTTTGGTTTGAAAAGAGTGAAAGAGATGGCCTATGCTTTCGGTCTAGCACTATCCCTTTCCTCATAGATGATTGGTGCTCAGTTTTCATTACAAGCACGGCATATAAATTTGAGAGAGATAAAGATAGACCGAAACTTCGTTTCCTCTCTTTCTTTCAAAGTGTACAATTCTCATCTCTAAGGCATTTCCATTATTACATGTCGATGGTTTACTCTATAAATAGGGAACCTTAATCTAATTTAAATCTTTTAACCAAGTAAACATAAATACGTATATTTTTTTACATCTAGCAATCAATTTTCTATGTTAGTCACATAACATTTGGTCCCAATTTTATCATAATTATAGCTTAGAGCAATAATATTTTTAATAGTGTTATTTGTATGCTAATAATGTTTTATGTATATTTAAAATTACACCATGTAACTTATAAAGTAGGTGAATGTCCAAATTTCTCTATTTTATTAGTGAATTTTGCTCGTGGAGAGGAGATGAGTCCAGCAATTAAACTTCCTGGGAAAGATTTCTTTGTGATTATAAATACGAGATATATATATAGGAAAACACTTCTTCTTCTTCTACCTGGCAATTTCCCAGCATTAGCCAGGGTCTGCCTAATGAAAACACTATCAAAAATAATAAAAAAACTTAGTGATATTATTTTATCTAATATACATAATTTAAATGTCATTGACATCTTAAATTAATATATGTTGTACTATAAAATGTATCAAATTTATTAATGGGTAGGTTCGAGAACTGAAAAAATTGATCTATTGAAAAAAAAAACTCCAATATTATTGTAATTTCCTAGAAAAACTTCTTTTTTTCTACTATGGCTTCATTCGCACGGTAATCATGGAATATTTTGTCAATGTCAAAAGTTTTTATTTGTTGGACGTATTATCTTGAGTACTTTGTGGACAAACAAAGGAGTTTGTTGAATGGATTAAAGTGTTTTATTTAATTATTATTATATTTAAAAATGTAGCCATTTTCTTATAAGTACCTACCTACAACATTACTGTATTTAGTAAAAATATGTTTTAACACATTTGACACGATCCGGGATTAAATGAAATAAAATTTAACATCTTCAACTGAAGTCTCAATTAGGAAATCTAATATTCTATCCCTACTAATATTATAAATGCGAAAGTAACTCTGTTTGTTACGCTTTCACGCCTAAACCGCTGAACTGTTTTTAATGAAATTTGGTACAGAGATAGAGTTGACCTTGACAAAGAACAAAGGATAGTTTTTATCCCAGACTTTTGAAAGGTTCTCTTGTAAACGCGATATAACCGAACTCCACGCGGGCGAAGCTGCGGGCGGAAAGCTAGTGTGTTAATAAATTTGACATTTAAGTCAATGACCTCGTTTATTCGGTATTTTTTACACCGCAAAGGTAAACACTGAGGTTTTATAGCCTCAAGGTCTAGACTTTTTGTTAAATAGTAATAATACATCATAGATTTTTTTATGTAATTCATAAAATCTTCCCAAATGATTTTATAATAGCTCAAAGTGATTGTTATGAGCATAATTTTTTTAATTACAAAATATTTATTTATATCAAAATATTTCAAAGTTTGTTAAAGTGGAAAATCAAATTATTCTTTTTTATTAATAAAATAATTAGCTTATCAGATAATCAAATATGTGATAATTTTCAGGAGTGCGGAAAAACAGTCAGAAAAATTGTTTGTAATAATATTCAATAGTATCAGTATTTATACAAAAATATATATATAATTAAAACTGAAATATTTTATCACGGGTTCGATTTCCGGTCAACGGTTTTTTCATATAAAACTTGGATTACAATTTTAATTTGATGACATCTATATATTTGTATTCATTTAAATGAAACTAATATATTCGGATTACTACGAGTATTAACGGGCTGACGAGATGTCTGGTCGTAAGCACGGTTGCTGCAAAGTAAACGAAAGGTTGGGAGTATGTACCTAGTTGTAAAATAATAAAAAAGAAGTTTAGAAGTGGTAGAGCCTAGCTGTGGTCATACTACAGCTCGAACATGGTCTGGCTCGACCGTAAGTACCACCCTCTCACAGAAGATCGGCGTGAAGTAGTCTTTAATGGCTGCGTTTTGTCTGATGAGTGAGAGAGACGGTTGCCCTTTCCCTCCCTTTCCCACCTTTTCCCCAAACAGGACAGCAAAACAACCGCAAATCTACGTTACGTACGTTCATGGGCGACGGTACTACCTACACCAGGTAGGTCATCTACTCGGTTATAAAAAGTAATGCCCAAAAAATATTACAATTATTTCTATTAAAATTTAATCGTGAGTTCTGATATTTTTTTTTATTATTTACCTATTATCTCTTACTATATATCTCTGTTAAACATATTAAATTAATGGAAAAATTTTAAAGCGTTGAAATCGGAAACATTTCTAAGTCTATACGTAAAGGTATCTTTCCATTCATTAAAGCAGTTTTATTTATGAATATCTATAATTAATGTCAGAATGATTTATCTATTATTAATAATTTTATACGATACCAAAAAAAATAAATATCTCATTAAATCATGTCAGATATTTTAAATGCATTTAAATATGTATGTAGATTACGTTGGAAACCATAAATACTTTTTAGGGGGCGTGCATAAATTACGTGAGGTTTTTTCGAAATTTCTGATCCCCCCCCCCTTTTTGAGATGTGAGATTTTATTCAACCCCCTTTCCCCCAATCTCCAAACTTACGTGACATTTTTTTTCATGGATGATAAATGTATAACGTCGAAGTATAAAATTTTCTTTTTTGAACTAATTAGGGAATAACATCGTATAACAATTACGCTTAAGATTAAATCTTTTATGTACAATATCGATTAAATGGACCATTATTGTATATATTTTTTTGTTTCATTCAGAAAAAAAATACGTGACAATTGCCGAGACCCCCCTTCCAACGTAAGAATAGGTGAGATTTGACTTGACTTCCCCTAATAATAAAGAAAACATACTGACATTATAAAGTCGAAAGTTTGTTAGCATGTATGTATGTGTGTTGTTTAGTGAGTAAAAATACTGTTATGATTGCGATGAAACTTTTCAACAATATAGCTCAGGCACCAGAGTGAGAGATAGGCTGTATTTTAAGCACTAACTAAATGTATGTCCTCCTATTACATATATTATATTAAAAGTGGAGGTGAGCGTTTAACGCGTTAGATAGGGTCCCTTAAACCTACACCTGGGTCACAAGTCCCAGTCACTGTTGAAGCTCCTCTCAGTACAACGATGGACCCGACACACGCATATGAATACATTGAATGATGAGAGGTTTCGTCTCTCTATATATATTAAACCTACACCTGGGTCACAAGTCCCAGTCACTGTTGAAGCTCCTCTCAGTACAACGATGGACCC